GGCCATAGTATCTAACAGAGTGCTTTCCATATTTAATGGTATTAAATCGAGGTAATTTGAAATCTGAATGAAGTGCAGATAATCAAACGAAAAAATACTTTCCTTACATACCTCAAATATTGCACTCAGGGCAGTTTGCCCTCTCCCAACGCCAAAACCTACAAATCAAATAACACAAATTTCACACTTTACTAATACATAGAAATGACTGTGAATCTATGAAAATTATATATGTAAACTGTTGATTAAGAATTGTAAATCAAGGCGATCTTTGCAGTAATGTACACCGCTCGAGCTGTAGTGAAAATAAAGCCTGAAAAAGATTCAGGCCTGTACGGAACTTGAACCCATGATCTCTTCGATACAGGTACACTGCTCTTGAAACTATGATAACAAGCCAACTGGGAGCTGGTCACCATGATGGCTCATAATAAACCTGTGAAGTGATAAATAAATAACAGTGAATATATGAAAATCAGGATTTTTTTTCAGGCCTCATTTTCACTTCTGTTCAAGTAGTGTTCATTACTGAAGATCACTTTGATATTCATTTTTTATTCCACAATATACATAAAATACATGATGTACCTACTAGCCCATTTCGATTCCCAGCTACCACCAAGGCACGCAGTGTTTTCCTTCTTCCACCAGCCTTTGTGTTAGACACTCGCCGCAACTAAAAATCAATTTAAAGTAGGTTTCTGATAAGTATTTCTTTTCTGTCTTTTCAATTCTTTGTAACATTTGACCTTGCCAGCACAGTTTGTACCTCCATCACTTTGTATATCACTACTTCTTTTGTGTGATACATTTTACAACTGAAGGAAAAAAAGAAAAAATTCCTCGGATCAAAGGAAATTTATGTTCACATTAACATTTAGTTGGTCATCTCTTTCCAATACCATCCCATACTGGTGTGAAGACATTTCCAGCATTGACTGCCCTGCCTCAATTATTGAAGCATGGAAACAAATCAGTTTAAAGTCATCCTGTGATTTTTCCAGACCAGCTAAAGCAACTACCTGTCCAGTCGTT